GGACCATTAACGTTATGTTAAACCCAAACTGAAAGTAATTTGTTCCAGAGACTGTGAAAATATTTGTTAGGTCGTGTAGCAGGTGATACATCACTGAATAAGAGCATACTTTTGTAATTTCAAGTAACCCAATGTTCATTACAGGTGTTAACATGACTTGTCATAATTTAACGATGTAAGCTATAAAAATCAGCTAAAAAACCCGTCGATGAAATCGAAAATTAAATAGTAAACAAAACTTATATTACGAAAAATGGCTAATGTTAAAATAGATGTCTTAATGTTAACAACGTTTCGGGCTGGGACGCCCTTCGTCTGGAACATTATAACATTTATTTTAACATTAACAATATTTCGTGGTTTAATTTTTTCCATATTTATGTTTTTGATTTCCTCTGATCGATAGAATTTGTTTGTTATTAAGAACTACCTGTAGCACGCCACTACAGTGATCGAACCTCGAACTACAGTGGAGTTGGGACAATCCTTAGAGAAACAACTTTTAGCAGAGACAACTTCCTGAACGATACAAACTTGAGATGCATATTTTTTTACTTGACAAATACATATCAATTAAGTAGATATGTTAAAGTCTAAATTTATTAATCATTTTTTCTGTATATAGTCATTAGACACTGAGTTGTATAGAATCAATTTCATTCTAGAGTTAATGTTGCCTTGTAAAGAAACCAATTGCCCTGTAACCTTGGTCGACGTATAATTTCAAGTACTCCTGAACCATCATTTAACTGGAGATTGTGGATTAGTTTTTTCCCATGAAATCAAGCTCAAACCATTCAGAATTTCAGAGCTTCGTTGGTGCCACATTACTGCCTAACTTGTGTTTTTGTATGTAGCCCATCTCGTGTGCGGAAAGCTTCTAACGATCCCAACGTTCCCACGGAATGTGCAGTTAAAATAATTGTTTTATTGGATAAAAAGTTTTAGAGGTCAACCAGGAGGCGCTTACGTCCCTTGGGGTATACAGAGCGACACTTAAGTACGTCTTTATTGTCATTATGCCTCATTAGAGGTTGTTGTAGAGAGCTGGTAGAGCCAAAGGGTTAATAAACAAAATACACAGTATGTAGAATGAAGAATAAAATAGTTTAAATATTGATGGGCCCATGTTCGTTAAATACTTTAACATGTGGTAATTTGCTCACGTGAGTACCGAACTAAATATTCAGAACAAGTGTCAAATATAACACAAAACTGGAAAATTACCAACAGAAAAAGTTCAGAATTAATTACGTATGACTAGATGTACTTCCACAGGGCACCCTAAAGTGTTCTGTTTCAAGAGGAAATAAAACCGAAATTAATAGCAACAAATATTCTTATTTCTTGGTTTTGAAGTTAACATGTCATGCTGAGTTGCAGACTACAGAGTGCATAATTCTTCTTGTAATTCATGGCATGCGCACGTTTTACTGACATCACGAGAACACAAATTACAATGCCAAACATCCCTTATGTGACGCCATTCTTGTGTCTTTTGACTGACTGACAGACAACACACTACTGTATAGTAGTGCGAGAAGTTAAAACAAGTGACTCCTCTAGGCGACCTACGGCCCCATTTCGGGGAAATAAGTTAAACAGCTAATAGTTAGTCCGTAGAATAAGAGAAAGAAATTGTCTTCCAAATAATGTCTGATTAACGCGTCATAGTATATATATATATATATAAATGTATATTTCTTTCTGGGTGTTAAGGATGAAATGAAGTCAATAGTGTACGAAATGAAGGCGTTGAAACACATATTTGAACTTGATGGTAGATTGATGAAAAAATTAAATTAACTTCTGTGTAATCTCAATCACATTAATGTTATCAATGGGTAAGTTTTAATTAAGTACATAATTTAGACGCTTCTTGTTTGGCCAGATCAGGACGTTATTACAAAATATATTAGCTTTACAAGTGAGCAAAGGATGAGACATGCTACTAGCTACAGTAACAGTTTGAAGATAGAGCGTAATAACAACTTAATTTAAACTTAGCGATTATTATGTTCTTTTTAACCATTTATCAATGTGGAAATTCGAAGGGTTTTGTTGGAAAAAACATAGAAACTTAATGAGCGCCATTTTCTTTGGGACATTATATTATATGTTTCTCATTTGTTTTCAAATGATACCTAATTAAAAACCATATATAAGATTTGTTAAAATTATCTAGAAATATACGATATATATACCTATTTTACTTCTGGTAACAAATACTTAAATGAAGTATTCCTTTAAAATGCATTTGTTTATATGTATGTAGATGACACTGCCATATTATTTAAGTTATTATAATCTTATTTTAGCAATGTATAATATGCAAAGGGATTTTAATAATATTTTGAAATGGCTGAACTTAAATCGTATCTATTTAAATACGGATAAAACTAAATGGATGTGTATTCATACTCCGTACAGAATAATTCCAAACCATCTTCTTTTGATTGCATATATTGGTTTTTGTTTGACTACATGTCTTTCTGAAAATACATTTAGCTCAAATTGAAAATGTAACAGAATTTTAATATTTAGGGATTATCATATGTTTTCATTTTCGATAGAAATCACCTTAGAATATATATGTACCAGATTAAGAGTTTATGCATGTAAAATATATAAAATTATGTTTAATACTCTTTCTTCTGCATGCCACTTGGTTTATTCATTTTTATATGAATCTGAGTTTTGCAAAAACTCTAGGATTATTTTAGAAGTTCTGTTGTTGGTGCTCTGTCGTGGAAGATACAAAAAACCTACAAAATACTGGAACGGAACTTCAGGACAATAACTTTGAAAATTTACATCCTTTTTCTGAGCAATATCAAATACTGTTATATACAAATTTAAAAACATAATTGGTACTAAAAAACGGCTAAATCGTTATGCATCTAAAATTATTCCTCCCCCCCCCCCCCATCCTGTGGCTCAGCGGTAAGTTTGAAGGCTTATGGCAATAAATATCGTGGCTCACTACCTGAGGTGGGCACAGCGTAGACAGCCCATTGCCCATTGTGTAACAATGCGCTTAAAGACAAATAATCTAAATTTATAAAAAATAAAGTTATGTAAAGAGTTCTTGGGTTATCACGAGTAAAATAACGGAAATTATTATTTTGTTTTAAATTTCTAGACTAAGCGTAGCGATTAACTCTGCTTTTTTACGTTAAATATATAACAAAATTATTATGTTCTCTCAAAAAAAAATCAATTTAATGCTCTTAACATCTCTTTCAAGCAGAATAACATCAACAATAAGTGCCATCTGTTGAATATTTTTATATTTGTATGTTAATTGAAAATATAGTCATAAAATAATTATAGGTTGGAATATTAAATTTGCATTTTATATAAAATATGAAAGCCTTAATTGAATACTGCATACTGTAAAGTGACAACTGGTAAAACTGTCTTGATTTTTTTACCCTCAAGTGGTTTATACGCTAAAAATCAGGGTTCAATACCCATGGTGGGCATAGTGGGGATAGCCAATTGTGTAGCTTTGCGCTTTAACATAAATACACAAATCTAAATTTTTATGCAGAAAATTGTAAAAACGTTTGGTGTATAGTTGAACAATGTACTATATAAAGTTCTTTTGTTCTGATCATACTGAATTTATTATCAATAATCAAATTAAGCATTTAATAAAAAATAAAATCAACAATTTTAAGCAAGACGCGGGCTTAGCATGGTCTGGTGATTAGGATATTCGACGACGCCTCGCAATCTGCGAGTTGATTGTTCGAATCCCATCATCGAATATGTTTGTTTGTTTGTTTTGAATTTCGCGCAAAGCCACAAGAGGGATATCTGCGATAGTCGTTCCTAATTTAGCAGTGTAAGACTAGAGGGAAGGCAGCTGGTCATCACCAACTCTTAAGCTACTCTTTTACCAACGGATAGTGGGATTGACCGTCATATTTATAACGCCCCCACGGGTGAAAGGGCGAGCATGTTTGGTGGGACGGGGATTCGAACCCGCGACCCTCAGATTGTAAGTCGAGCGCCCTAACCACCTGGCCATGCCGGGCTGTCATCAAATATGATCATCCTTACAGCCGTTGTAATTGGCAGTCAGTTTCAATTTTCGTTAGTAAAGAATATCCCAAGATATTTCGGCGGGTGGTGTTAATTGCCCTCTCTCTAGTCTAGCACTTTTAAATTAGGAACAGCTAGTGCAGATAACGCTCGAGTAATTTTGCTCGAAATTCAACAAACAAATTAAGCGAGACGACTTTCTTTATATTGTGTAACGTGCAGAAAAAATCGATCAGTGCCCAAAGCACTACACCACACTGGGTTAAACTGCACTCACGGTTAATTTTCTTAAGCACCTAATATAAGTGTATTTTCAAATTTGCTTACACCTCAATTTTAGAGTTATATGACTGATTTTGTAACACTTAGCAACATGAGATGATAAATATTTAAAAAACGTTTGCAGTCATTGACGTGAGCACTTCATAACAGCAATTATGACTTCACTAGGACCAGTATTCAGAACTTTCACCTTTTGGATTATCGTATTCTTTAGTGAAAATGAAAATCATATTGCCCTACTTTACTCAAATTTGTATATACTGTAAAAAAGTTGACTCAACCTTTATATATATTTTAGAGCTTGTCAGAACGCATCTCTATGTGCTGTATCTCTTTATTATATGTCTTACGTTAAGGGCTTATAACGCTACAAACCCACGGTAGACATAGCCAAGATAGCGCTTATTATGCAGCTTTGTGCTAAAATAAAAAAACATAATTACATAAAACGTCTTTTTAATAGTATTTTGAAAATTGTGATGAAACTCCAAATAAAATTTTTCAAATGGACGTTTAGATATCTTTATACATTCAAATTATTAATCTGAATTTATAATATTCGTAATACCTTAAACCAAAAAAATATGCAGCCAAGTTGGTATAATTTACTACATTAATATAAAATTACGATCTGATGCAATATTTGACGTTTTATCACCATCGGAGGCGCTGTGATACGTGGCGTTGTTAGGTAACTACACGTGTTTGCGATTTACGAAGTGCAAACAAAATTTAAACTTGTAGTAACACTGAGTGACTGTCAAATGTCCTTATAAAGTATAACTTATAAGTAATAAAGAAAACTGAAAAGTAACTCAACTTGATAATTGTTTTAGCCAGCTACGGCGTTATTAGCGTTTCATAAATGCAATAGACTTCAGTTCAGACGGCAAGTATTGAAAAGAATCGATATAATCATAATGTTAACATTATTATAAGTAAGTAAATACTAATAGGCCTAATAGTAATATTAATACCAATAATAATACTATTAGTATTAATAGTGTTAAAGATCAATCAATCTAGACTTTTCTTACGACTACGAGAGTTGCATTAACTTGCAATCGTATTATTTATTAATAAGTATTAACATAAGTCATTAAATGCTTAATAAATATAACTCGGTATATATTTTACTACTAGTACTAGTAAACTATTCAAGCAAATAACATTTACATTGTTTGCATATGGATTAATATATCAATTACGCTTATATTCTAAATATAATTTAAAGTTATTTAAGTAATAACATAAAAAAAATAGTGGATGATATTTTTGGAAGCAAATATAAATGTTAAATTAAGCCTTCTTTTAAACAAATTTTGTTTACATGTGCATAATTCCATAATCATCATAACCTCCAAAAGCAAAGTGAGTTAAACATACAATCTTCCAATAAAATGTAAAGTTATTATTTACTTGTATACCCCTAACTCCAAAAGTGCCACAAAACAGTGATAGTATTACAGTACGTTGCTAAATTATTCAAGGATATGCTTTATCTCAAGTTATTATTGAACATAACAAGTCATTACTTGTACTTATAGTGACTTCTTGCTTTGATATTTAGTTGTTACTTTCTAATATACAGTCTCTTAGTTGGATTTATAATCTAATTCCAGAAACAATGATTATTATTATTGTTACCTTATTCAAATGATGCTTGTTCACTAAACCTGAAATGTATTTACAAAGAATAGTGAAGGAATATTTATATTTCATTAAGTTGCTCAAGCCATCAAAGTAGTGCTCTGTTGTTAGCATTAGAGTTAATAGAATTTTAAAGGTATTTATAAACATATTGATTACAAAGGGTGGCATGCAGAAACAACCTTGGAGGGGTAAATTGTCGATAGGTGTTGATTTCTAGTTTAAAAAAAACCAGAAAGATAGCAAGAGGCATCTGAGGCTAGGTGTTGTACTCAAATTCATAGTGTGACTGAAAGTTGTACCATGACAGAATGAATTGTTATTCAGTGTTAATGGAGAAATGGTAATACATATTATGGACCATAGACAGAAAACTTACAGCTCTTTCTACTGGTGAAATGGTAATACATATTATGGACCATAGACAGAAAACTTACAGCTCTTTCTACTGATGAAATGGTAATACATATTATGGACCATAGATAGAAAACGTACAGCTCTTTCTACTGGTGAAATGGTAATACATATTATGGACCATAGATAGAAAACGTACAGTTCTTTCTACTGATGAAATGGTAATACATATTATGGACCATAGACAGAAAACTTACAGCTTTTTCTACTGGTGAAATGGTAATACATATTATGGACCATAGACAGAAAACTTACAGCTCTTTCTACAGTAACTTTTAAACTGTAATAGTTCTTTTAGTGAAATATATACACATTTTTTTACTTAGTTTTGTTAAGCCTATGAGAATTAAGCCATTTAAAATTATGAATTCGATAGATTCTAATTTAAAATATGTAAGCTATTTCAGTGTAAATGTGGTTATTAAATTCTGTAGAATATATTGTAATATTGTGAGGAAACTTTCCCTTTAGCCATTTTTGTTTTAGTCTGAGTGTTAAGTTTTTATTATATGAAACATTAAGCCCAAGTATAGTTTAAGTATTCCTAATGAATGAAATGAAGTTTTTCCACATGTTTTAATATTCCAGATGAGAAAAACATATAAGCAACACAAGAAAACATAATTTGTTGACCTACATAAAAAGAAAAGAAATGAAATGTGAAAGAGATGTGAAGTTTTTCCATTTATGGATGGTCTTAGGGATTATAATAACATTTAATGTAAAAAACATTCTTGGAATTGATGACACATCAAAATCCAATAAAGCAGTAGTTCTTATAGACACCAAGCAAGAAAGTTATGATACTGATAACGAGGTGAAAATTGAGGAAGAGAGCAGTGCTGAGCCATTTATTCCTACTAAAGACTGGCAGAAAATTAAACCAGGTATTTCAAACATTTGGAAATAGTACCTTGAGGTTTTTGAACTGTTGTCTTTTTTATCTCAACACTGTAATGTTTTTGTCTGAAATCAATTCTTTTATTTTTTAAAGTTGATATTACTCATTGTAAAGCAAGGTTATAATTATAGTAATTAAACATCTTATTAAAACATATATATTTTAGTAGTATTTTCAAAGATTAAAATCAGACTTTATTAATTAAAATAAATGTTAAAAGAAAGTAAAAACATTAGATTATTTCATAGTACGATTTTATGTGTTAATAAAACATAGTAAAAGAGCTTTACTTTGATTATGCATGTTAATAAGGAGTAAACAGTTTCAGAGTGTGTTTTTACATATAAAAACACATGTATCAGAACTGTTCCATTTTGATTAAGCATTTTTGAGTTTACAATAAAACACATTACTATAGTTCATATATCTATGTATACATATTCTTTATATACAATGTCAATATATCCTATGTAACTGATTCATGTCTTAATATTCTTCACCTTTTCCCTCACATATTGTTTCTTTTTAGAAGCCATAAATTTGTTTTATTTTTCTTATCAATTTTAAGCTTTTCTCATCAGTTACATTTTTCTTTCTTTTCTTCTTAACACAGGACTTCTTCTTCAATCAGAGGCACCTCAGTGGTAGGGATCAGGCATAAAATACGTGGGATTAATCCGATTTTAGTGAAAGTTACACATATAATGAGATATAATGATTGCAAATTACAGTTTCCAAATTGTCCATGTTATGATTGGCCACATCAGCAGCATGAACCTCATAGTTGTTATTGTGTAACTGATAGGTCTGCTGTATTAGTCTTCTTCTTCACCATCATTACATCCGTTTTTAATCCCACAGCCCAACAGATATGCAGCAAATAGCTCCAAGTCCTGCTGACCATGACTGGAATTTTGCTACTGTAAGGTTCCAAGATATTTGACTTGCAACCTGTGCTATGGATATGGTCACAAATCCATCCATCTAGCCCAAAGATGATGTAGCAGCAATCAAAAATGGGTCTAGTGCTGACAAGGACAGTAGTGATAGTAGTAGTAGTGGCCTTCCAACAGATTAGAAGATCGAGAACAAGATATACAACTGCAAACAAACAATAAAACAAAAGTCTCATAATTTGATTTGAGAATAAAAACGAAAAATAGATAATCAATTTGTGTGTGTGTGTAACTGGTTCTTTGTCTGCTCATAACTTCTTTCTGAAATATGTCACCATCATGTGGATTGCATATTTTGATACAACAGATTTCAAACTTTCAAGTGTTGATGGAGCACCTCCAAGAAACAATTACAAGATCTTGTTTCTTGCCAACCAAAAAAAAACACTATTTTGCCTCTAGTTGAAGGATAGATCCTGTGTTAAATATAATATAAACACAATCACTGTCCTCCTTAGCATTGGATATGGTAGATATAGATTGGTTGACATATTGTTGTCCCTAGTGGATCAGGGTTAAGTTTATGGACTTGCATCACTAAAATCCAGGGTTCAATTCCCTGTAGTGGATACAGAAGATAGCCAAATGTGGCTTTGTTCTAAAACAAGCAAACAAGACATATTTGTTATGCATTCTTCTTTATTTCTACTCGTATGTTCTCAGAACCGAATAAATATAAATAAATTGAGCAATGGTATGGTACTTAGAGCTTTCACAAACATACAGTTACATTCTTAAAATTATGCTTGTTTTTAAGACATTTGACAGTTTTTAACAGGAAAGAATATTATGCCATAGTTTTAGTGAAGGAAGACATTTTTAGTTACATAAGGATTCTTATATATCAGTAAAATATATGTTTAGTATAATAACTGTTAAATCAAATGGCTTTCTTTTTCTCAGGACAGGCTATTCCCCCAGGACTTCATGTAAGAATGAATTTACAAACAGGATTAAAAGAAGCAAAACTGTTAGATAAGGAAATGGACAAAGATTCAATTGAATCAAATCCTCTGATTATTGCTGATGAAGAGACTAAAAGCTGGGATGTTGGTAGTGACCAGAAAAGAGGATTTTCTCATAAAGAACTTAAAGAAGCTTTAAAGTCATTCAAAGCCGAAGAATATCATCAAGATTCTGGTCAGGTGAGCACAAGCTTCAGATTGATCTGTTGTAATAAATGTTTATTGTTATTGAAAATCATGAGAAACTTGGTTAGATTAGGTCTACAAAAGACATGAGAAGCTTGGGTAGGTTAGTTCTACAAGAGACATGAGAAGCTTGGGTAGGTTAGTTCTACAAAAGACATGAGAGACTTGGGTAGGTTAGTTCTACAAGAGACATGAGAAGCTTGGGTAGATTAGTTCTACAAAAAGACATGAGAAGCTTGGGTAGGTTAGTTCTACAAAAAGACATGAGAAGCTTGGGTAGGTTAGTTCTACAAGAGACATGAGAAGCTTGGGTAGGTTAGTTCTACAAAAGACATGAGAAGTTTGGTTAGTTTAGTTCTACAAAAGACATGAGAAGCTTGGATAGGTTAGTTCTACAAAAGGCACGAGTAGCTTGGGTAGGTTTACAAAAGACATGAGAAACTTTGTTAGGTCTAAAAAAAGACACAAGAAGTTTGGTTAGGGTAGGTCTACAAAAGACATGAGAACCTATGTCTGTCTTGCACAGTAAATAGTATCAGGACTCACGCTGGTTGTTTTCAAAAGTAGCGATATTTTCTCCCATGTAATTTTTTTTACCAATGTTTTTATCAAGACATCAACTTTTTTGCATAGATTATTTCTATAATTTTGAACACATTTATCACTTAAGTATGCCAGAATAAATCAATTTTCAACATTTAGTTCAACACAAAGAAAAAATTCAAAATTTGTTATAATTATTACAAATAATATTGTGTTATAAATCCTTAACCTAAAAAATCTAATTTGTAAATGAGATACATAAAAATGGATAATAAAATCTTATTCACACCATAACAATAGATAGCACCTAGACCACTACTATGTTTGTTGTGTCCCAGCCCATCTCATGAGCCCTGGTGTTGAGGAAAAGGTTTCATTGGCACTGGGTATGGCTGACATTACCATATTCATATTTACTTTCATATAAGTTCTTAACATTACAATAGATATTGTTAAATTACAGACTTTGTTTAAACACAAGCATCGGTTGAATCAATATACAAAACTCTTGTTTTTTTTAAAGTCAGTAGAATGTTGATTAATTATCTTTAACCCTACTTGTAAATCTTTCTAATTAGTTAAGCAAATTTCTTACTCACTATATACATTACAATAGATATTGTAAAATTACAGACTTTGTTTAAACACAAGCATCGGTTGAATCAATATACAAAACTCTTGTTTTTTTAAAGTCAGTAGAATGTTGATTAATTATCTTTAACCCTACTTGTAAATCTTTCTAATTAGTTAAGCAAATTTCTTACTCACTATATACATTGCTGCAAACAATTGCTTTGTTGACATATTAAAATAAATCTAATAATCTTAATTTGATGACGGTTAATTGTTGAACATCTCTAGTTATTTCAGTAAGTGTTTTCACTCCTCCATCTATCATTTATAAAAATTTGGCAAATATGGCAGCTTCCACGTTGTAAAATATCCCCAAAAATGGTGTCATTGGTGATCAATAGTGTGAACAGTTGATTGGAAAGGTTTCTCACTTTTGTATCTCCACAGGTAGGTGAATAATTTTAATAACAGTATAAAGTTTGAAATGATGTTGTGAAATAAAGACAAGTAAATGTGTAATAATGAAGTTTTGTAAATTCAAGCTATGTGTCATAACGTAGTAAAATATTCTTAATGTTTACCAGGATGGACACATTGCTCTACTTTGTAGTATGTTAACTTGAATGTTAGAAGCCATAGCTAAACACAAAATATAGCTACAGGACAGTGAGATCCAAATATGATCTTAAATTTCTGTGAGAGTTCAAGTGTGGTTAATGCTTTAGCCAAATAATTGTCAAGAAGTGATTATTATAATTTGTTAGTCTAGTTATTAACAGTAGAATCGTCTTTCTTGTAGCTATTTTGACAACTTTTTATGATCTCCATAACAAACAAGTATTATATGAAGTAGCAATAATATATTTGCTTTTGCAAGAAGCTTTTTCTATAAATTAATGCCAGCGCATCATGAACAGGTTACAAGCATCAGAAAACTGAAAGGTCTGAATGCAACGTTTTTATTTGCACAGAAATTTGTTATTGAGTGATTTTAATTAAGTAATGCATAAACTTTAAAATTCAACAGAAAGTTCCAACTCTTATTAATTTTTGTAGATTTAATTCTATGATTTAATCTAAATTCATTTGTATTTTTATATCTTTTTTACTCTTTAATATCTGGTTTCACACAACTACTTCTACAGAATGCTGAAACCATAAGGGCCAAATTTCGAAGTATTGAGGACTTAAAGGAGGAGTTTGCTGCTTTAAATATAAACATTAAATCTGATACAGAAATATTAATTGAGCTCCTGGGTCGATACAAGAAGGCAGACAATACAGAGAAACTAGACATTCTTCAAGACCTGGAATACCTCGTGCATCAGGTTGGATTATTGGTAGATTGCTGTGAAGTTTTGTAGAGACTTGTAAAGGTTAACTACTTTGGAGTTATTATTATTGAGAAATTTCAGATATTTTTCATAGCTTCACTTTGTAAAACTTGGACTAAGATTAGTAGTTGTGTAAATTAATTTTGGAAACTGTCATTAGCTATTTTATAAATATGAAAGGAATGTGACCCAACATTCGACTTTATATATTTTGATTACTTAACTTAAGAATTGTATGTTATAATTGTGTGTGTTGTATTATTTTTATTTGTTCTTCATCTCTGAAATAGTAAACTACTGTTTTGTAATTTGGGTATTATGAATATACTCCCATGGAAGAAGGTAGTACAAAGGAATGAATTAATTTTTTATAGAACAGTTAATAATGTACAACAAACTGATTATTTGTAATGCTTGGTTTAAACTAACATTTTAGTGAAATGATAGCAGTATTTATGAAACACACCAAGTAAGTAGTAGCTGTCTAAAAGAGCTTATCATGTTAAGGTAGGATTGGTGGTATATATTCGTATTTTAAACTGTATCGTTCATTTACCAAGAGTAAAACACTACAAACCTAACTACTTGATGTAGGTGACAAAGATTTTAAAAATGTATCGGTATATCAGATACATCTCTCTCTTTTCAAAGTAAATATAAACTCGGGGTTGAAAGCTGAAGCATTGAAATCCATAATTGAGAGAATATAAGGAATATGAAAGAAAACATCTGCAGTTTTGCATGATTTTTACCACAGATTTAAACAAAGTTCTTTATATATATATATATATATATGAAACTTTTGCACCTAATTGTATAAATGTATCTAAACTTTTGTTTAAAATATGTAGTACTATAATATATAACCTTGGAACATGCTGAAGTAAGGCTCTTTATTACTATAATATATAACCTTGGAACATGCTGATATAAGGCTCTTTATTACTATAATATATAACCTTGGAACATGCTGATATAAAGATCTTTAGTACTATAATAGAAAACCTTGGAACATGCTGGTATAAAGATCTTTAGTACTATAATATAAAACCTTGGAGCATGCTGGTATAAGGCTCCTTATTACTATAATATAAAACCTTGGAGCATGCTGATATAAGGCTGTTTAGTACTATAATATATAACCTTGGAACATGCTGATATAAGGCTCTTTATTACTATAACATAAATCCTTGGAACATTCTGGTATAAGTATCTTCATTACTATAACATAAAACCTGATAAATTGCAGATATCAGGTTCTTTATGATTTTAAAGTTACAGATCTGTCTTATTTTAAGTTACATAGTGTGTATTAAAAGACTAGCTGTGTGCATCAGAAGATTTAATATAGTTGAAACTTTCCACAGTATGATGTTGCTCAGGATTTCATTAAGCTTGGTGGCCTGCAGTTGGTGTCACCTGACTTGAACATAACCGACGAAAAAGTGCGAGAATTAGTAGCCTTTACTATTGGCTCAGCCATGCAAGGGTAAGTTATGATCAATGTTAGAAGTAAACGCTAGTTTCAAACAGTGACAGATAATTTGGAAACCTAACCTCACAACATATCATCTAGTGATTGTAACTTCATGATCAAAGATTTTGATAACCTTGTTTGTTACTTTGATAGGAATCTTCCTTAGATTATTTCTTTATTTCAGGAATCCAAAAGTTCAGATATCAGTCCTCCAGAGCAACATAATGCAGAATTTACTACGATTGATCGTATTAGACCCATCACCCAATGTGAAAGCACGTTCATTCTATGCAATTTCATGTTTGGTGCGTCATTTTCCTCTTGCTCAACAGTGGTTGGTTGAAAATGGTGGACTTTCGGCCTTCTCTGATGTTTTTAACCATGGTGACCCTCAACACCAGAAGCTTCAGTTAAAAGTGGTCACCTTGCTGTACGATTTAGTTACTGAACAGGTACAAGCTTGACACATTTGTAAACAATTATTGTAATATATAAAAAATAATAAACGTTATCTACACAAAATTCTTACCAGTCAAGATTTGTATGTCACTGTTATTGGTTATTCTTGTTTGTAGTTTAGTCTACCATATTACAAACTTTGAAGTGGAATTTTGTATAGCCTGAGAAATATTAGAATGAAGGATTATAAGATTTCACTTCCAGCTAACAGGTTTGAAAGACTTATCAATAATCAAAAACACCTTACGTGTGAAAGAAAGGATTCATCATGTGGCCAAACTGTTAGCTACACTATTGCATTGATAAGAATTTTACAGCAACTATTCATTCATTAGTTAGCCAGGCCACTTTTTTTTCAACTTGTGGTGGGTAAAATAAAATACATGGCCTAGTAAACTGATGAATGAATATTTGCTGTAAAATTCTTCTCAATGCTATCTATCAGTTTGGCCACCAACTTTGATTTCAATCCTTTAAGTCGTATGCTCAATCCTTTTTTGGTCACACCTAAAGTGTTTTTGATTAAATATAATGACTTTTTCTTAATACACACCAACAAACCTCAACAAATTAACCAACATTAGCTTTAGGATTGCAATTCTATTATTTGGAAGAGATCTTTACAGAACCAACCAGATTCTTTAAAATATATGATAGTAGTTTTCCTCTCTAAAACAGTGTTAATAACTTTCTTTATAGTAACACAATGGAATTTAGATTAACAATTTCTCGTCATCACCTCCATGCAATCCGTACAGTCATGTCAAATAAATAAACTATAATACAATTATTAACCCTAACAAAACATTATCATAGGTAATTGTACATTCAAACTCTACAACTTTTAATCAACTATAATATAATGCAATTATCAGTCTTAACAGAATATTATCATAGTAGTTGTGCATTCAAATTTTACAACTATTTCATGGAATATATCAACTATTATCATCATCATTTATTTAGTTTTAGTATAACTGATGGAAAATTTGTTTTTGTTATCATCATATATCCAGTTTTTTATAATTGATGGAAAATTTGTTTGCTGCCATCCATTCATTCATTTTCTTGAGTTTGGTATTTAATTTTTTTTTGTCAAAGAATATAAATTATCTTTGGAAATAAAACAGATTAGTATCATCGGCCAACAAACATGCATGTGAAGCAAATAAGCCTCAGGTAAACCATAAATATAAAGTAAAAATAACACAGGTCCTAGAATAGATTCTTAAGTTAAAACCATTAATAAATTTATGTTGAAATATTTTAGAAAGGTAATTTATTAGTTCAGAAGAATTTCTGTAATAATGAACTTTGCTATTTAAGATGTCACGTTGGACCAATGTGAAATTCTGTCAACATTATCTTAACTTGTGTTTTAACAAACATAATTCTGTTTTTGTATAGAAATTGACTGAAAAGCATGCAAAGAAAGATGCAGTGAAGGAGAAACTTCGTCAGTATAAAAAGTAGGTGAATTAAGTTTTAATAAAACTAATATGAAATTATATTTAAGTTTTCAATTAAAACCAGTACTGCTTTTTTTTATAATGTCATACTACAGAAACAACATTAGTTATTTAACTAGTGACGTATAACAGGTAAGCATGAAGACCTGAAAGATGACTGAATATTGCTGCATCATATCTTACAGCTGTAGTCAGTAAATGTGTGCCATTATTTCTTGTTACATTATTAACAGTTATAGTCAGTAAATATGTAAGCCTTGTTTAGCTTTTCCTTCTAGAGTGAATGCAAGTATTTCACAGTTTTACTGCTGCTAAAGTTAGATCTATATTCAATCCTTTACTTATCCAGGTTTAAAAGCAAGTAATCTACATGATATAGATTGTTTTAGATCTTTACTCGTGGAGTCTGAGAGATTTGTTCACTATGTTATCTTCTGATAGTTGGCCAGTGTGTAACATTATTTTATTCTTACATTGTACATGCATATTTGTTTCCAGGTTTCACCTCCAGGAAGCATTAGTTGAACAAGGATTCTGTCTGCACATTCCTAAACTTTTGCTATCACCAGATTATGACACTCAAGAAAAGGTTATCCGAGCCATGCTAGTAATGGTTGATCTGTGTAAAGAGTCTTTTCAAAGCAGTCTTGGAAAGTTGAAAGATTTAGAACTATGGTATAAATCTGTAGCACAGAATGAAGGAGAAACGGATACTAGAACGAGACCCGAGTCTCTGGAAGAGAGTGAACAGTATTTTACATTACTCTATGAATTTGTGCACGATCTTATAAATCTAGTAGAGCAAAAATCCAAAGATGAATTGTAAAAGAATAATATGAAAATTATTAACTTAATTAATATCTGTATCAGCATTGTTTGGCACCAGCTGTTGATTCTAATTAGTCAAGTACTGTGGCATGGTGGTAATAGAATGTTGGTTTGTTGTAAGTAAGCGTTACATTTCCATCTAATCTAAGATATTCTCTGAAAATAAATATCTGCGACAAGATGACGATTATATTTTGTCAGCTGAGCATCATTAAGATGATCTTTAAAGTGGTTACACCATAGAATGTAATAGTTGAGGTAAAACAAAGAAGTCATGAGAAAACTCAACAAGAAACCTTTAATTCATAAGATGTACACTATCCTACCAAAAGTCATGTCTTTATTCCAAAAAATTATTAGCGTGTTGACCCGCCTTTGGCCTTGATGACTGCTTCAATGCGTTGTGGAAGAGTCTACTAATTTCTGGTAGAAAGCTGGTGGTATTGTGCTCTACTCCTCCTTTAACTCTTTCAACACTGAACTCGTTACTATATTGTGCTTGTTATAGTTTTCATGCTATAACTTTTT